AATTAATACTGCTGCAACTTAGACAGATGTCAATTTACCGGCTTCCGCGAAAAACGGACATGCACTGGTCAGTATACCAAGTTCGATATTTTCGTTGAATGATTAAATGATCCGTATTGGAAACACTATAAGTAAAAACTGATACCAGGCATCGTTTCATCAAACAAATAGATAAAACTCCCACGAAAACAGTGACTTATTCATCAGTTTGCCAGTTAAAAGTGATGTTGCAAGTGACTAATTAACAATGCTTTTAATGCTGCTAAATTACAATGTGCGTTTAGAGATTGCCCTCGTGATACACTGTCGATGCTGATTGGATCAATGGTTGTGTATGCTTTCAGATGCATTTGTGGACCGAACCACAACTGCTGTTTCTATCATCGCATTCTCGTCGAATCAACCTCAAAACATCTGTGCCGAGCCAAAATCATGGGCTGAAAATAAACACGAAAATTTCCGGCTCATTCAACATTAAGCTAGTGATATTTCATGCATACTGAGCAAACTAGACATTATCTAGAATAATTCATTATAATTTACGGAAATCACTATTGTGTTCATGGTTAGACGTACGGTTAACAACAACGATAGGCTGAGAGGGCACGACTGAAGAACAACAGCCAGAGTGTATTGTGTTATCAAGACGTGATACGTAAATTTAAGTTAGCAATTGTGTGTGCGAAAATGATGCATGAGGTGATGCATCAATCAGATCGCGTCCTTGACACTTCGATTGATCGGTCGGACGACAGCTGTCTGATTCGCCTTAGTCATCCGATCTGGAATCGAGTCGCCTTGGGTGTGATGAGCGCACGGGCAGCCTGGGGGTTTCCGTACGATCCGTCATAACAATTACGAAGCCTTTATTGATCATATCGTGTGGATTTCATATCTTGGGAGTTCGGCAGCACCTGATGCATTCCGGCCGATCTTTTATTTCTGATTGAATTAGTATCGAACGAAAGTTACGAAAATTGCTCCACATATTGACAATAATTTTCAGAAAAATCGAGTAAAAACGGATCATGACACAACTTCCACACTGAACTGCATTAGACATCTATGTGAGAAACATTATGCAAAAGAGCCTGACCTTGTTTTGACCATGTGTGCTCGTTTTGTATGGAATTTCTTTTGTAAAAGCTTCCATGACGTCACAGAAGCTAATTATCCAATCATGTGCTTCCTCCTCGTTCAGAATGGTTACAGTCCAGTCCGTTGACATTGCGTGATTGGGATGACGTTGCTGAACCATTGGCCAGTTATGTGGAGAATTACGACTTGAAAATTGTTTGTGCGGAGATCGAAATACCGAGTGAGTACTGTCAATCTAATGGGGGTCCATTAGCATCCAAGTACTTCCTGGCTGCGCTTAACCAAACTCAAGTAGGCCCGGCGTCCCGTGTCTGGCGGATTCCCACAAGTGGACTGCTGTACGGAGCTCTGATCATTCTGGATCCGGAAAACACGAAAGTTGACCCCGTGGACCAGGTAGGTTTCTCACGGAAAAGGGTGGGGTTTTTACTCATTGGCTGTCTTGCGAACTTACTGTGAAGTGTGCTGTGTTAAATAATCAGCTGATGAATGTGCACTGAATTATGAATGAACCATGAACTGCTGTTTTATAGTTTGCAGTGTGAAATCTCCTAACGAGTCTAGTGATTGCAAAATTTTCTAGCCGAACGGATACCCGATTCAGCTCGGCTAAATTTACAGGTATATCGAAAAACGTTTCGTGGATAAATCGATACTTGGGTTTCACTCAGGCAGTTCGGGTTCCATTCCCGGCCAGGGAGCACATTTAGCGGTGCTGGTCCGGTGGTATCGCCACCAAATTATCACATCGGAGGACATGTGTTTGAATCCCGTCACCACTACCACTACCACCACTAACAACAACAACAACAAGAACAACATCAACAACAACACCAACATCGACTGGTTGACAGCCTATCGTTTTCCGTATTAGCGAAATTCCACGAGTTAATCCGAATATCCCCCCGCGTGGCACTGACTCAGTTGCGATGTGAATAACACAGTTCTCGTTTGCGCGCTAATGAAGCATTTCGTGGTGATCGAAAGAGGGTACGGAACAGCTGAAACGTCCCTGTTGGGATTACCCAGCAATATCTGTAGTTTTGTGTCTCATCATCCCGCGGGACTTGGATGGGAAAGGCTCAGCCGTGAGCTACATGGTCATCACCTCGAGTTAATGACTGTCATAATTAGGAATATTGTGCTTGTTCCCCGTGAACAGGGTGGCATGTGGAACAGGTGTTGATGTTGGACCTTTTCCATGTTCCCAACTGGAGGTAGGTGAATAACGCACCATACCCATCAGATCCAAGATTCAATGTGATATCACCTAAAAAGAACCAGTGTGTATTGACAATAAAAAGTTAACTTTTTCCATGGTCCAAGAAAATTTATCTGTCGGATCGGGTAATTATTGAACGTCTACCGGGGCGTCTCGTTTTGGTTTTGTGAGTGAAATATGAACAGAATCAGCTGTTTTATTGATTTCAGGTTAGGCTTTTAGTGGCGCCTTCAAAATCGCAATTGCTCGTGGCGAGAACAAGACCAATAAAAAATCTTCGGATGAAGCCCTGCTGCTTCAAGCATTATAAAATATTCAGTGAGATAAAGTTCCCATCAATGTTACGAAATAGTCAACTACTGTTCCGAACAAATTTTGATACCGAAAACAACAAAACAACCGTTTCTTGTGTTGTGAATCATTGATTGTTCCTCAGTCTATTATGTTGTGTTTTCTGGGTCACATCACAATCATGACACACTCAACCCGTTCGTCTCGTTCGCGCTAGTTGTGGTCAATACGTATTGCTTCCTCTTATAACTGTAGTTTCCGAGCCCATGAAATGAATGTGTAGTAACCGAATTAGGTACAGAATACGGATCACGAATCACGGACGAAAGTGAAACACTGAATGGCATTAGCACTTGTACGCTCGAATCCCCCGTCACCGAAATGTAGTAAAAAGGACACAGAAGTGGCAGTTCGTTTATTGGAAGAAATCAACGGAATAAATAACGTACAACGGAAGTTGATTTATTATACAGGTATCCACCAATCGCAAGCTAGTATTCTTGATATCATATAGTTTCTCTCTGGGCCGCACGACTTCTGATTGGTCTGCACAGTTGGTTTGTGGTTTGTTGTCCGGAAACTGTAACATGTGAGCGCTTGGCTGGAGTCTACCGGGAAGGTTGATTTACCACCATTGTCCCGAAACTGTAACACGTCGTCCCATGGCCGGCAATATCCCATAGGCTAGGATTACCACAGTAGTGTGCATCCAATTTCTTTAGTCTCTTTTAGGTCATATTCCCCCTCGTGCCACAATTGTAAATACGAATAAAATTTATAAAAGAATGTTTCTAAGATCCGTGAAGGAAACGGAGGCATCAAATACATGTTGTCAGTCTCTCAGAGCACACAACCGTTCGGAGATGTCACCTGACTAACTCTGAAAAATCAACTAAGATGACCGAAAGCATTTTTCATGAACCATGAGTTCATCTAGATAGTCAACCGGAATGTGACGTTCATTTGGTAACTACCCTATTGTGACAAACATAAAAGCAACATGATCGTGTTAACGTGTGTGTAACGTATTTTGCTACTTCCGTTCGGCTTAATTTAAAAAGAAGTTTGTAAATCTTTTATCATTGGACTTACGAGAAACCAATAAACTGCCGCTTGAAGTGAGCTGTAATATGAAAACATCCCAAACCCGTAAAGTCAAACAACATCATGGAAAAGTTGGAGCAAGAAGAAAAACCCTAATACTCCCACAAAACCACGTTTTTAATTCATATTTTTGAATAACTTGTTGTAATGATTGTAGTAGTAGTAGTAATGGTAGTAGTAATACGCACAGAATTCGGAATGCAAACCACGCAATAGGAATCACAGGACACGAATCTAGGAACAGCTGTCACGGACTGGATTACGGAAGCACCGGACCGCAATGGCACGAGCTCACAATATCCCACGTGAACGAGATGCGAGGAAAAGGCCACAGGAATGGTAACTCGTAATTCATTTATTGGAAGAACTGAAGGCGATCAAATATGTACCAAAGAAGATTATTGGCTATCTAGGCATCCACCAATCGGGTTGCAATGCTGCTTGCATTATTCTGCTTCTGTTTGCACTGTTTCGGATTGGCTGGCACGATCTGCCTATGACATGTAATCGGAAGCCGTACACGTGTCATTTCACCTTTCGTCACCTTTCCAATTTGATTGATCGCATGTGTCCGCAAACTGTGACGCGCTGCTCCAGGGTAGACGTCATCTCGTAGGCCTGAATCTCTACATTTGTGTGGGTTTCTGCACATAAATTCTGACCTGATTCAATGACGACGAGTTCCCCGTTGGTTAGAAGTCGGGCCAAGTAAGCAGACAAATTTTGATAGCGGTTTACAGTAAGAGGTACTAGTCGCATCAACTGGATTCATGAAAGTGAGACAGCGATTCCGATGAATGATAGATCACATAAATTCATTGTTTAATCCAACCCCACCTGGGTTTACCACGCTTTCGGTTGTCCAACTTCGAACGGAAACTGTGAACCGTAGTTATGTGTAATAGTTAAAGTTAGCACAGATCACGGATTACGAATCACGTATAACGAATCACGGACGTCGCGGAAGCACTGAATCACACTGGTACTTGCACGACATCATCCCACGTAACTGAGATACAGGGAACAGACCACAGAAGTAGCAGTTCGTTTATTGGAAGGAATCAATAAGAATCAATAACATGTACAAACGAAGTTTATTGGTCATACAGATATCTACCCGTCGCGTGCTCGTATTCTTCACATCGTACAGCTTCTCTTTGGGTCCCACGGCATCTGATTGGTCAAAACAATTTGCTCGCGGTTCGTTGTTCAGAAACTCTGGTCCCAACGTTGACCAACTATATCATCAATTCGGTCCAACCGCTATCCTTTATCTCAACCCATGAGACAAGTAACCCTGTTTCGCCGGAAAAGGTTCTTTAAGTCTGGAGGTGACCCAATGTCAACAAAGATCATGGTCCTCATCTATTATGATCGCATGCGCTGATCCGCTTTTGTCAATTAATATTCAATTGAACAGCATGTATTTGTCATGCGGAACGATTCCCGATTGTTGGAAGCTAGGATTAGACTAATCACCAAAATGAAATCTTCATAGTACCGTCCAATTGCCTGCTCATCTGTGTTGGTGAAAACTTTGGAAAATGTTTTCCTACAGTGCTTGTTACTCCTATTCAAATCCCTTGATTCTTTTACAGTTTACCTACAAATTAGTTTAAGATAAAGATGTATGCACTACTCGTTCGACTGTCCTTTGTCATACAAACTTCTTTAGTTCTCTCGACCGGACAAAGCTGAATTGACGTCTTTCTGAGTATGTGGCTTGAAACCCGGGATTTGCAATGTTTTAATTGACTACTTTTGTCTTAGGAGCCAGAGTCATCTTTCATAAAAATTGGTTCTGGCATCTCTCATGGTGCTATTTAGTCCCGTTTGTTTTCGTGTGGATAAAGAAACTCGCCCTATCCCTCGTACATTCATTGATGGCGAACACTGTGAGGATAGCGATCAGACATTTTTGGTTTGTGCCCCGATATCTCCTACTTTAAAGCAATAAGTACATCGACGTTCATTTTAATCTTAAAACTAGTCTTTTGCATTGGTAACTACCCCCCCCCCGTGATCTTATACTTACTAATCTAGCTATCCCTAAATTCTAATTTTGTTTACTACCTCAGTGTTCTGATTTGATCATGTCATCACAATTGCTACAAAAGTTCTAAGACTAATCTTTTATGCATATAGACTCAGGAAACTGGCCATACCACATATTCATACTTTGAAATTCGTCATTTTTTACATCCTTCCACAATGGTTATACTGCTGTACATGTATATATATATATCTTTTACACCGGTTTGTGAACAAGCATGGTACCAACGCTACAACAATAAGAGCAATAACAATAGGCGGAATGGAGTACAGAGCAAGGTGGAAAGAGGGTGAAACAGTTATATACGGGAAAATGGAAGATAACTGGGATAACAAAATTTTCTGTCTTTCTTCGTACACATTTTGATATATTTTTTGGTATTTTTACGGGGCATATGTCTCTCAGTGTCTCTAACCAAAGACAATCCTCATCCCTTGGGTCCTAACCTGGAATGTGGGCTGCACCAAATGAAACCAGTTTCTTCATGCCGCTACACCATGTCATGGTCTGACCGCGGCGCCGCTCTTTCCACCTTTGTGCGATACGTGCGAAGAGAGCACGAAAGGTAGTAGATGGACAGACATACGAACTATGTGACCAAGCCATCGGAGGCGATTTAGAGCAATTACTTCCGTTAGAGAACGACCACCCGTACCCNCGACGACGAACCTCGGCATTACTCACCCGGTGTTCCCACCAGACACGAGCAATGTTCCGGAAACATCGGTGGTCAAATACAAAAAGTCGATTAGCATTCTCAACGCGGAGGGGCCAGGTCTCACAACTGTAAAGGAGAACGCTACCAACCGCGGCGATGTACACCCTTTCCTAAAGGGACAGTCGGATGTCATGGCGGCGCCACAGGTGTCACAAGTTGACGAAAGTTGCTCTAGCTTTCACTATTCGTGATGTTATCTCCTCTCCAGCACTTCTAACAGCTGCGATCAAGCTCCCGAGGTATTTAAAGCTCTCTATTACTTCCAGCTGATCACCACAGAGGGTGGGTGCAGGCACAGGCTCCTGTCAGTCTTGAACAAGCACTTTGCTTTTTGATGGTGCAAAGCACATACCTTACCTGGATATCTCTATCACCAAGCGGTTCAAAGCGTCTTAGACTGCCTATATGTTGTCATTAAGCAAGGCAATGTCATCGGCACATTCTAAGTAGAGGACTCTGTTCCCTGGGAGGAGTTCGACTCCACCGTTTTCTAGACCGGACAAAGCATTCTGTTTAACATCCTCTCTGACAAAGTTGAAAAGAAATGGGGATATAGGGCGGCCTTGCCGAACTCCACTGGAGACGGCGAAGGGTTGCGAAAGCTGGCCATAGGCCCTCACCCGACCTGAGGTATGACGATACAACTCACACACACGACACACGCTTCTCAGATACCCCATTCCTCAACAAACAGCTCCACAGTGCAGTTCTATCGATAGAGTCGAAGGCCGCGCGGATTTCTAGGAATACAATGATCGTTGATCTTTGGTAGGCATGACGGTGCTCTAACAGCTGTCGGAGGGTGAGGAGTTGATCGATGCATCCACGACCGGCACGAAAACCATGCGGGCTCCTCGCTGGTCTGCTCCTCACGCGTAGTGTAAAATCAGCGGAGAATGACGGACAGCAACAGATTTGACACTATCGCGATTAGGATTATGCCCCTATGTTTGGCGCAGTCATTGCGTGGGCCCCTTTTGAAGGTGGGGACAACAATCGATTCTTCCCATGAGGAGGGGACCTGCTCAGTGTTCCACACTTTGGAGAACAGAACTTGTAGTTCTCTAACAAGCTTCATTCCACCATCTTTAAATAGAGCAGGAAGAAGGCCATCGGAGCCCGGCGCTTTGTGACGTCCCAAGGC